AAGTGCCACCAGCAATGTGTGAGTGTGCCTTTTTCCTCACATCCTTGCCAACACTTATTGTTGTTCATATTCTTGGTAGCTGCCATTCTGACTGGAGTGAGGTGAAATCTTAGAGTAGTTTTGATTTGCATTTCTCTAATTGCTAGAGATGTTGAACATTTTTTCATAAATTTGTTGATTGATTGTATATCTCTTCTGAGAAGTGTCAGTTCAGTTTGTTGGCCCATTTATTGATTGGGTCATTTGTTAAAAACCTTCATAAATTTTTTTAAAGGACAAGATAATATCCTTGAAGAAGTACATAAAAATGACTATTATTTGCTTTTAGAAAACTGTTGAAACCATAAAATTATTAAAGTTATTGATAAATTTCTATATCCAAGGTACCAGAAAGATATTTAAAACCTGGCCCTGCTCACAGGTCTACAGAATAAAAACTTTTTTGAATATGTAGCAAAACTTTCAAGTGTACATTTGTTTTTCCTGAATTAAATGTTAATAACTATTAATTTTAATATTCATAAACTTTTATTGAAAGTTAACAAGATATACAGACAATTCTTCTGCATTCATTAATCTTTAGAGTATTAATGTGGAGAATTTTTTTGGTCTTTCTAATAATAATGAGACTAAATGAATATGGCAGAGATCCATAGCTATTCTCTAGCATTTTTGATATATAAGTCAATTTCTCTCTTTCTGTATTGTAAGATCACAATAATTAAGTAATTGCTATTTACAGGTGATTTCCAGCTTGTCTCATGCCATAGGCAAGCAAAAGGAAAGAATAGAGTTAATGAGAACATTCTTCCACTGGCGAATTGGCCACATCAGCTCCAGACAGGATGTAAGTATTAAAAAGACAAGACCACTGACTGATATTAGACTTCTGAAAGGGTTTAGTCCCCTTATTAGAATTCTAGGTCAAAAATTTACTTCCTAGTAAGTAAAAATGAATTTATGACTTAAAAATGATTGCTCTTATTTCAAAGGAATTTGATTTTGATGTAGTTTGGTAAAAATAGTTAGAATTTATTAACATAAGATATATATTATGATAGGTACATCGTGTGCTGCTCCATAGCAGTTTAATGAGGATTGTACCTAAATTACAAATGCCCTGATAGATTTTACCTCAGATGAGGTTATATAGAAAAAGAATTTGCAATCATAAAATATTCCTATGTTGTTTCTACTTCTAAAATACCTGTCTGGGTTCAGTGCCCATGCCTGTGGTCCCAGCTACTCAGTAGGATAAGGCTGGAGGATTGATTTGAGATCAGGCCAGCCTGGACAACACAGCAAGACCCCATCTCAAATAAATTAAAATACCTGAATACAGCCCTTTTTTTTAATACTTATTTTTTAATTGTAGTTTGGGACACAATACCTTTATTTTTATTTATTTTTATGGTGCTGAGGATCAAACCTAGAGCCTTGCATGTGCTAGGCAGGCTCTCTACTGCTGAGCCACAACCCCAGCCCCTGAATACAGCCTCTTCATAAAAAACCATTACTACATTTGTAATATAGTTGTGGATTAAAAAATAGTACCAATGTTTATTGTGTAGACTTGCCTTAGTATAAGAATCAAAGCCATGCTGTTTATCTTTTTTTAGTTTCTATATAATTTAAACCTGAACATTTTTTTATTTTAATTAAATAAGAACTAAATTAGATATCAAAATAGTGAACTGAGAGAATAATAATTTATTGTATCAAAAGTGAGTAGAAAAGTATGAGAGAGAGAGAGAGAGAGAATGTGTGTGTGTATCAGACAAGAAAACAGTATGAAAACCCGTGAGTATAGGAGATGGAAATGTGTGTGTGTGTATACAYGTATATACATACATATACATACATACACATATGCATACATACATATTCTTTTTCTTGTGATCTTTGAAGTAGTCTCTGTGCATTTAGTTTCCAAGAGATAAGTATTTAAGGAAAAAGCTATTGTTGTGGAATAGAATTTCTCCTATAAGAATACTCTAGTGTTTTCATTGTTTTATAAATCCAAATGAATTAAATCCACGTTAATCATATTGAAACAAGCTATTTAAAATGACTATACTATATTTTGAAAAGTATTTGTCAAGAGACACRTAATAAGAATTAATACTTAAATGTTGGCTGGAATAGTTAAGGTGCCATCATTCTTTAGATAGTTTTTCAAATTTAAGAAAGTTGTACATTAGAATTACTTCTTCAAAAGAATTCATTGATTGTCCTAAAGTTGAAACCAGAAAGGAGACAATGACACTATGCCTTTTCTTTGACATGAGAAAAGGATGGGCATTAACATAGATTGCCATTTGACAATCCAAAGTACTGAACAGCCCTACAAGATTCCTTCTTGGGGGCTGTGGTTGTGGCTTAGTGGTAGAGTACTTGCCTAGCATGTGTTAGGCACTGGGTTTGATCCCCGGCACCACATAAAAATAAACAAACAAAATAAAGGTAAAGTAAAAAAATCCTACATTATAAAAGTAAATAAAAAGATTCCTTCTTAATTCCATGCTTTCAAAAAAGAACACGTAGAATGCGCACATGAAATTGGTAATATCTGGTCACAAAAAGAGTATAAGATAGAATATGATAATTTCATAGAATTTTGCTTCAGCAAAAAACTAATGTAACATGTGAGAGCCATCAAGCAGCTAGACAGGCTCAAAAAGGAAGGGAAGTACACCCCTCCACCTTACCACTGGGACAAGGGAGATCCTAGGCCCTGAACAGAGCAGCTCCTGATGGCTGAAGGCTGATTTTCATGTTCTCTCTTTGCCACTGAAAGATGATTGAAAACTTCAAGGTGTATAAAATAAAGGATTGTTCCATCCTTAAAAAAAAAAAAAAAAAAGAATCCATTGATAAAGATTATGTTCCTATTTGGATCTGTTTGGCACTACATATAATGGCAAGATGTCTAAGTTAAATTAATTTTGTTTCTGATGGTGGCCACCAAGCCGAAGGGGAGGAAAGCAGTGTTAGTATCATCTGAAGCTACAGCCACCACCCTTTTTGCCTTACAGCCACTCTTTGTTACTTACCTGGCCTTGCTTTCAATTAAAAGGCTAATGCAGATTTGTAGCTAAGATGGCAAGTTTCTTTATTTCATTTCTTTTGTTTTTAAATTTTTTCCACTAGCTTTATAAGCAGTATCAAGCCAGGATATAATGGATAGAAGCTCACTCAAATCTGACTAGAGAGGTTACTTAACCTGTCTAAGCCTATTCTCCTAAATGCATCAAGAATAATATGATTATACAAAATTAAATGATAACKTATGTACATTATTAATGTAATATCCTTAACACATTACCACTATGTTACGTTTATTGTTATTACTRCAATATAGTTACCATCCCCTGTGTTTTTTTGAGGTTGTACATTACTTTCTTTCAGGCTTATGAATGCAAACTAGCTGACCAGTACTTCCAGAGAACTTTACTGAAGAAAACCTGGAAGGGCTGGCGTTCCATAATACAAAGACAATGGAAAGAGGTGGTAGAACGAGCTTGTCAAGCAAGAGCTGAAGAAGTTTGTGTTCAGATTTCTAATGATTATGAAGCCAAAGTTTCTATGGTAAACTCTTTTAATTTACTTTCTTTTAATGTAGTAAATGAATAGATTCACTATTAATTTAGAGTTAGGCTTCTTTTCTAGTCTTTATGTAGTCAGGAATAAAAATTTAAAATGTCTATTCTATATTAATTTAAATTATGTTCTTATAAGCARATGTAAATAAATCAGAAATTATTTTCTTTGACTTTTAATAATAAATTAGCAGTGTTTCCATGGGAAAATATTTGGGACCCAAAATGAAATAAAAACCATTCTGAAGAATACAGAGGTTTCTTGAAAACAAATGCCTAAGAGAAAAAAATTAACATTATGGCATTAAATTCTTAGTATTATATAAAATAAATTTTCAAAATACAAATAATTTTCCCCAATTCAAAAATAACATTCAAAAAATGCAGTTTAGGTTTGGTCTATAGGAAAATGTGTTGTTCACTTGGCACTTTAACTTCTGTAGATAATTGCCAGACATAGAGCAACACGCCTTTAATTCCACTGACATGTGAGGATGAGGCAGGAGTATTGCAAGTTCATGGTCAGCCTCAGCAACTTAGTGAGATCCTATCTCAAAATAAAATAATTTTTAAAAATGGGAATGTAGCTCAGTATTGAAGCATTCCTGGGTTCAATTGCCCATATCAGAAAGTTAAAAACAAACAAACAAACAAACAACAACAACAAAAAAATGTGGAACTGGCTTTCTGGGTATTCAAAAACCAAGACTTGGACACTAAAATCAAGGAGAATAAAATGTTTAAGAAAAATAGCCAGTATTTTGGTCCCTGCCCTCCAAGGTCATCCAGGAACAATGGGACCCACCTAAGGGCCCTGCAATTCACCCAACCTCCTGATCAGAGGGATCACAAGGACTCTAGAAAACAGGAAGACAACCAGTGTACATTCTGCAAAGAAGAAGGGTCATTGGAGAGGAAAAYGTCCCCTTAATGCTTCCAAGGCAAGCCACTTGTGGTCAGCAAGACTCACCCATCCTGGCACAACTGATAGAGGAAAAGACTGAAGAGGCTAGAGGTGCCTCTAAAGTTCCTAAAATTAACTCCTGAAGAGTCTTGGCTGATCTTAACAACAGGAAATAATTTTTGGTCAACACAGGAATCACCTACTTGGTCTGGAAATATAACCAAAGAWAAGTGTACAAATATGAGGATGGGAGAAAAGTCAAAGGACATTCAAGTGTGGACAATTAAAAGGGCAAAACAGTGGCCCTTTAAAATGTAACTTAAGGGCTAGGGATATAGCTCAGTTGGTAGAATGCTTGTCTCGCATGTACAAGGCCCTGGGTTCAATCCCCAACACCATAAAAAAAATAAATTAAAAAATAAATAAAATATAACTTGAGATGTGCACCTGTGTCAGCCACACCAACAGTTAGTAAAGCCTAGAAGTTATGCAGAAGGGGTTCTTAAACATAATTACCTGACACTAAAATCCTTGCACCTAGCATCTGTATACAGAAGGTAGAACTCATAGCTCAAAAACAAGGACCCTCAATTCCTATTTTTTTTCCTGGATCTTAATTATAATATTTTTTAGTAGTCCATTCTCACAAAACTATTTAAAAGGAAGGAGAACCCTTACACAGTTGTTTAATTGAGTATCTTCAGACTTTGACTCTTTTTTGTATTCTGCTTTATAATTTATAATAGTATTTATACTTTTCGGCTTAAGCATCTGACTCTTTGCTTATATGCTTTAGTCATTGTTTAAGACTGGTTATCAGAAAACCAAGAAACCTGTAAGTCAGATTGGCAGACACCCTAGATCCCTCAAGATTGAAGAATAGACTAAAGACAGGAAGGAACTGTAACAAAGACTTAAGACTTTGTTTTTGCCCATAAGTGTTCAATGGGTATTTAAAAACAGGATTAAAGACTTGGTATCTGTGCTTCCATTTTGCATCTGTCTCCTTTGGTCTGAGTCACCTTGGATCCCAGGAAAAAAGTCTAATCTGATAAACATCTTGTAATGAGTGACTACCCACCCCCCACCCCACCCCCACAGCCCTAGGCAACTGCAATTTTCTTACTGGGGACAAGACCCTGCCTGACCAATCCTGAGGTGAGAACAGACAGACCACACCTGATCAAGATCACTTGCTTTGGCAGCTGTGAAAAGCCTCCAGTGTGCAAACTTTCCAACCCTTGCTCTCTTTCTATAAAACCTCAAGGTCATTGTTAGCTTCTCAAAGCCAGGGCTAAGGACATGTGTCCCCTTCCTAGTGTAGCTACAATGAAAATGTTCCTTTCATGCTTTTCAAAAAAAAAAATTTTAAGTAAATTCTATCGATGACATTTACTTTTTAAAATTTCTGTTAAATTGCATCAATTTAGCAGTTTTTCCCCAAAGGGATTAAGAACCATCCATGGCTCATGTAAGTGTATTTTGTTTAATATCCTGCATAAAATCTTTTTTATGGTAAGGAATAACATATTTGCATAATGAAAACACCAGCAAACTTCATGGGGCTGATAAAAAACCCTGCTTATTTGAACCTGACTTGATGGTTAGGAACAAAAATGATTTGTCAGTGGATGCACCTTTGCAAATAAGTTGAATCACAGAACAAGTATGTGGCAAGCTGTTTTTAGTATTTCATATAAGAGTAATCTCACGCTCTATATATGTAATAAGAATTATAATGCATTCTGCTGTCATATATAAATAAAAAATTTACACAAAAATATTGCAAGTAATTTAGATCAAAGTTAACACAGTAATATTCATCCTGTGTCTCAAATGTTTTTCTTTTAATTCTTATTTTAGTTATCTGGAGCTTTGGAAAATGCAAAAACTGAGATTCAAAGACTGCAACAAGAAAAAGAACACTTTGAAGATTCCATGAAGAAAGCTTTCATGAGGGGGGTGTGTGCATTAAATCTCGAAGCCATGACTATGTTTCAAAACAGAAATGATTCAGGTTGGTCTCTCATTGAAGATTTTCTGCCTATTTTCAAAAAATAATTTGAGGCTGTTCCAGTGATTAGGGTGGTTTGTCATGCTAATATTCTGCAATGGATGTGTCATCTAGGTACTGATTAGTTTTAGTTTCATGGTGTCATATCCAGCTTTAAGTCCATCATGAAAACTAGACATAGTTACTTATGATATTTWAGCTATGTGTTTAAGCTAAATGTTAATACTTTTAATATGTATTGAAGTTCTTTTAATGCTGCCAAGTAGGAAATTTCTATTTTTATTTTTTTCTAAGTATTCAAATTCCTTGGATAATTTTGTTAAGTAAATATTTCTTACCTACTTCTGGCTACGAAACACCTAAAAAGAGATACACAGCATCACTTTCTGTCAAAAACATGTTATAACTTTGTGTGAGCACAGAGGGGTGGATTGGTACTAGGAACTGAACCCAGGGGCACTTGACCACTGTGCCACATCCCCAGCCCTATTCTGTATTTTATTTAGAGACAGGGTCTCACCGAGTTGCTTAGCTGCTTTGAACTCATGATCCTCCTTTTAGCCTCCTGAGYCACTGAGATTACAGGTGTRTGCCAATGCACCCAGCATGTGTGTGTGGTTTTAAAGCAGTGATCTTTTATATTGAATTAATCCCTTTATCAGAAGATTTCAAAGGATCTAGGCACTATAATCAATACTAAGTTTTGTTAACAAAGTGACTATTTTTTTTTTTTTTTGTACTAGGGATTGAACCCAGGGGTGCTTTACCACTGAACTACATCCCTAGCCCTTTTTATTTTTTATTTTGAGACAGTTCTCCCTAAATTATTGAGGCAGGCCTTGAATTTGTGATCCTCCTGCCTTAGCCTTGCAAGGATTACAGGTGTGCATCATGTTTTTGGCCACTGTTATTCACTTATACACAGCTAGTTTTAAGAAAAAGATTTATGCAGAAACCCAAATTTCTAAATGGAAAGAAGATAACAGAAGATCATTTAAACATAGGGTATACACAATATCCTATGTCCTGTCTCKTGAATTATCTCATTGAATTTCCAAACCATTGAGCTAATTACAGAGATGTAATCTTTTAAGTGGAAACTAACCACTKTCTAATACTAAGGGGGCAGGGGATGTAAAATATGAAGAATTTTAGGTTTGTCCTAGTTTTTGGAAACTGAAATCATTTACTTCTTGGATTATGGTTAAGATTCAGYTATGGGAAAATTTAGTCTATGGAGTAGTATTCCTACAGTAAAGTTTGCAGATTTGTTCTTTYATGATATGCAGAATTGTTACTTATATAGCCCACCTGCAAGAACCCATTTCTTTTTTGACCCCCCCAGCCCAGTGCTGGGAATTAAACTCAGGACCTTACACATTCTAGGCAAGTATTCTACCACTGAGTTTTACCCCCAGCCCAAGAACCCATTTCTTGCCAGGCATGGTGTTRTATGMCTGTGGTCCCAGCTACTTGAGAGGCTGAGGCAGGAGGATCACTTGAGCCTAAGAGAGCAGGACCAGCCTGGGCAATGAAGTGACACTCCAGATCAAAAAAATAAAAAATTGTTTTAAAGAACCTATTTCTTTCAAAATTCTTTCTTTTAATTCTTATTTATCTGAAGTTATCTGGAGGTTTCAAAATGAAGGTTTTAGTTTTACTTATTGTTTTATTATAGTTTGCTAAAATCAGGAATAAAGATATGTTGTTTTTGTTAATAGAATAGGAGCAATAAATGGAAATAAGGAAATAGGGTGATATCAGAAAATAGTTGTAAAAATCTAAATATTTATCAGGATAGTTATATGAAATGCAAAGAACATAAAGCCTTGGGCTCTGTATGACCATATATATTACTGTGGTAGTTATGATGGTAAGACAACTGAGCACATGATTTATTTTTATCTTTTACCTAAAGCAAATCATTAGCTTTCATATGTTGAAGGAAGTAGTCTCATGTTTAGTGGTTAATGCTGACATTACCAGTTAGTACTGACAGACTGTGTTAACTGAACAGTTGACTCCAGTAAATGACAAATGTCTGCATTTTCATTAGAACCAATTTTAACCATTATATATTTTCATTGTTTAGGGGAGAAGAATAATCTTAACTTAAAAGAATTTTAATGAGATAAATCTGTAATTTATAGGGATAGATTTCACAAATAATAAAAAAGAAGAATACAACCCTGGTGTTCAAGGAAAAGAACATCCTACTCATGTGGATCCTTCAGTACCTCCAGTGTCCTCAGCAGTTCCACTGCATTTGCTGCAGCCCTCGCCTACAGTGCCAGTTGCAACAGCCAGCGCCACTGCAATTCCTTCTGCTGCTTCCGTGACTTCTGCTGGGGCTGCATCTGCTTCTTCTGTTCACGTTCACTTTCCAGTTCCAGTTCCAGTCTCCGTTCATGGTGCAGCATCCTCAGCTACAACTACATCTGAAGAAATGGTTAGTACAGTTTATACAAGTAATACAAGTGCTAATTATGAAAGAACTCAAAATCTTGTTTGTAAATTTTATTTTGTTTATTTTAGTGTGTATGTGAATGTTGTTAGGGATTGAACCCAGAGCCTCTTTTATGCTAGGCAACTATTCTACCAATGAGCTACATCCCTAACCCTGTAAACTGCATATTTTGAACTCAGAACATTTTTCTGTGGAGAAAAAATATCTTTGTATTTAGGCCAATCCATACAAACTATTCAGTAGACAAAATAGCTAAAACATTATTTGTAATGAAAATCATAATCCAAAAATAGTGATAATTATTATTATTCTTTAAATTTTAATTATTATTATTCTTTAAAACAAAAGAAAAGGTTCTTTTGTTTTAAAGAATAATAATAAAGAACCTTTTCTTTACCTTTTTTCAAAAAAACATTCAGGAAGAAAATAGTTTAAAAATTTATGATGGACTTTTTCTTGCTTCTCCTGAAGCAAGCTAATGAGTATTTTCAAGGGTTTAGGAGGTTAATATATATTTAATTATATATTTTCTGTTCAACTCTTAGCTTTTCCTTTTCCTGGATACAGATATATCAACCAGCAGTGCTCTCTAGTGACTCCATCTYGATGAGGTTGTTAAGTTGTGATTGGAACCCAGAAAGGAATAGTTTTCCTAGACTCACTGAGTTTCTATTAGAGAAGTGCTTAGAGCAGAGTGTTGAATGGGGATAGTGTTTGAGCACTTGCCAGGAGTGAAATTAACCAAGCCCCTGACACAGTCATCATGGCTGTGATTCTTCAGTCTCCTGCTCCCCTCACTGTATTCTTCAAACAGTGCTTCTCAAAAGGGAATGAAGGGACTCAGGCGTAGCTAAATTTGTCAAACTCASCTTTGTGGAGCTTTTTAAAAACAACATTATGGCCCTCTTCCCTACTCTGGCACAAAGGCTTTAGTTTTRTAAAGCTCCTGAGATGATTCTCCCGAGTTCCTAACCTCTCACATGACAGAAAAGATGATGACAGAATAGATTTTTGGTCTTAACCGCCCCCACCCCCAGCCGCCCRCCCTGGCAGGCCACCAGCAGGTACCATTTCCCTGGAAAGTTCTCTGTAGCAAAAGAAGGSATTCTGTCAACCAGAAAACTGATATCTTAAGTCTTCTAGTTGATTTGAATTTCTACCTTTTGTGAGCTACTAACTTTAGAGAAAAATATGTTGGGATCTGCTATTTATCATGTTTGTTCTTAACAAAGGTTGAAAAATATGTAGTACATGGCTGCTAAGAGAAATTTGAATATGTGGGGGAGTTTTGATTTAGAAATAAGGCACTAAAATCAATCCTGACATATGTTCAGCTGTGTTTATTTTCCATGATTACACATTTTGAAATGTGATCCTATACAGATGAGCTYGGTGAGTGTTTATTTAAATTTTTGATTTGTCATTCATGTTGCATAAGAAGATAACACACAGCTAGATTTTTCAGAATTTCCTTCTTAAAATATACCAGTATATCTGCATTTATATGAAAACCTAAATATTGCTTGAGGAGAAATTAGTGTTTGTTCACCACACTTTTTCTTGCAACTTTTTAAAATAATTTGACCACCTGAGATAATTTTGAAGTCTTTGAAACATGAAAAAAAAACAGCACTGTGTAAACAACTCTTTTCCATCCCCCCATTCCCACACATTATATCTACCCCTTCAAAAAATTCAGCTTCATTCAGCTAAGTACAACTTCTAGAGCTAGGGAGAAAGGAAAATTATAAGTAAATCTCTGTGAGTATAATACTGGTGTTCTTCTTTCCATATATAATTACAATATCCAGATTTACCTCAAATGTGACTTGTTTTTAAAAGAATCATAATAATAAATGGTAGAAACAAATGTTGACTGACTTAATGTGAAAATGGTCATTGTTGGGAACAGGAAAAAAGATTTATGATCCAGGTCTGGTTATATATCATTCTTCATTTTAATCACAGAGGCTTCCTATGATAATTCAAAACTTTACCTAGTCTTCCTCAATATTTCCAGTGGCTAAAAGGATGTGTGTTCAGAAAACAAAGAGAATTAGGATCAAGAAGCATTCCTATATAATGTAATAAGAAGATATCTTTACCTTGTTTTCTTTCTACTGACATCTTCATATGTTAAAGAAAATGTCAGTATTTCATAGTTGAAAACATTTTTCAAAAAAAAATTAGGCAGTTATACAAGCAAATTCGTTGCAATTTACAAGGTTGGAAAATAGGTGGCAGTATACTCTAACTCCACTGAAATAGTTAAGGGAAAGTATTTTTAGTTGGATTTTAAAGCTATTTGGTAAAGCTATTTAGGAAGGTTTCTTTTCTAACTTTCCTTTTAATCAGAATGAAAAACGATAAGGTATCATCAATTGGTACTGCTTCTTCCATTCTATAAATGAGGAAATTGAGGCTTACAGCATAAGTAACACCCCTGGACACAATTAGTAACTATTACAGTTGAAATTTCTCTTGCCCAATAATCTGTATTGTCTCCCTCTCAAATATTAAGATATAAATATTGGGTTTTTAAATACATCATTTCCTCCCTCCCATCCCTTCTGATTTTGTTGTTTATGTTGATACAACTTAAAATGCTAGAATTTTTATTTTTACAGAATTAAGTCAGCAAAACTGACACATAATCTCTAAAATGATTGGAAAATGKTCATTTACTAAAAAAGTCAACTAAAGCAAAGAATGATTTTTTAAATGACATGTACAGATCCATTATTTTATCATAAAACATATTAATTTGCCAATTTTAATATGCAGCCACCTGGATATAATTACTGATTAAAATTGTCTTTTTAAATATAAGTTATACTCAATGTAATTTGTTTGTTTTCCAGTGTTTCGATAAAGTACAACATGAACTAGCAAAACTTTCAAAGCTGTCTAATTATAAAATCATTCTAGGTGTTTTTTCTCCACCTAAGTTAGCAGTAATTTTTTCTTATAATGTATATTTATATATTCTTTTTACAATGTTCATAAACACTTTTAAAACAACTTTTTCATCATTTTATGCCATTTTACTTATGTATTATTAGCAAATACAAGTGACAACCATTTGAAAACAACTGACTGGTAAACATGCAAGTCATTTAAGGTAACTTCTTGTTTGATTCAAATGAGAATATAGAAATTTCTTTAAAAACTCTTTTTGCTGGAATACATATTTTCTTCTTACTTGAGGCATTCTAAAGTGATTCTCAGCTAGAGTRCAGCTTATCATCTGTGGGTATTTTTTCAGCTACTCTGCTATTTCTCAGTCTGAACCTCTCCAGTTTTATGTATTCTTTCACCTATTCAGGTGAGAATAGCTGCTATAGAAGGCAGTATTTATACCTTTCAAGTGAGATTGGGCAGGAATAATATTCCAAGCTCTATTTTATTTCAGTCTTCAAGTGTTGGCAAAGAATTTTCTTGTCAGCCATTAATTTTTTTATTTTTAAAATGTTTATTAAGAATTCAGGGGCTGGGGTTGTGGCTCAGCGGTAGATCGCTTACCTACCATGGGCAAGGCCCTGGGTTCGATCCTCAGCACCACATAAAAATAAACAAATTAATTAAAGATATTATATCAAACTACAACTAAAAAATRAATATTAAAAAAAATTCATTATAACCTAACCAAGCACGTGGCACATGCCTGTAATCCCAGTGGCTGGGGAGGCTGAGGCAGGAGAATCGTGAGTTCAAGCCAGCCTCAGCAAAAAATGGAGTGCTAAGCAAATCAGTGAGACCCTGTCTCTAAATATAATACAAAATAGAGCTGGGGATATGGCTCAGTGGTCAAGTGTCCTTGAGTTCAGTCTGTCTACCACCATCCCCCACAAAAAAAAAAAAAGACTTCATAATGGTTGACAGGAGTGAAGAATGGTTAGAGGAGGGGGGAGATAGGCAAGACTGTAAATGGTAGCATGATGGACATCTTGGTGAAGGAATAGTCTGCATCTTGATTGTAGTGACAGTCCCGGGAATCAACACGTGTGATAAAATGATACAGATTTATACAGAAGCTTTATATCAGTGTCAGCTTCCTGGCATCAATGTCTTTGTGTACTTTTACTATATATAAGGTGTAATCATTGCAGAAACTGAATGAGGAATTCACAGGACTTCTCAATACTGTCTTTGCAACTTCCAGTGAATACATCATTTTTCAAAATAAGTGTTTTTAAAGTCCCTAAAATCTTATAGTTTTATTTTTTCTATATCAAAGTTGACTGAATATACAGTTATTTTAAATGCAGTGTATTTTCTTTGTAAGTTATAGAGCTAAA